AAAAAAAAAAAAAAAAAAAAAAAGGAAAAAACTAGATATTCGTATCGACCAGCTACGTTACAATACGATTACAGTACTCAAAGTGGCGCGCGTTTGAATACCGATCGCTCGTGCATGTACGCGCACGTAACGAAGTAACAGGACCCTCGAATTATCGGCTCACGAATATTCGATTCACGTTTTATGATAATTGTAGGATGAGCGAAGGGACCGTCGACCGTGGGTTAAGGTTCGCTGCTCGACACCGGAGAAAGCTGCGGCGACCCGCGCCCGAGGTTTCCAGAGGAACGAAGACAGATGAGAAGAGAAAGAAGGAGAGTTGAACAGCCACGACGCAGCCCTTCCCAACCGTGAGCAGGTTTTATTGTTCTCTTTTATTACGTACCTCTGGGCGAGAACGATCTGGCGCGTGCAAACGGCCGGGAATTGCGATGCGCGCAATTATTGACTCGCGTTCGGTACGTTTTCGCTATTTATTTTTCTTTCTGTCGATCCGTGACACGAACGTTTCTCGCGTAATTGCGCCGGCTCACGCTTTCGCGAGTTGATCCGTGCACGCGGCGTCGTTCGGCGAAGGGATGCCAGGAACGTCCAGCGCGCGAACAATGCAGAGAAAGTTTGATGCAGGCAATGCAGAGAACACGGAAAAGACACGCCCTGAGAGACGATGAGTATTCTTGTCCTTTCGTGTCCCGTTCCTCTCCTCCTGTTAACTATCTCTCGCGCAGAAGAGATCGGGTCACGATCGGCAGCCTCCACAGCCTCCGCACGATACTTTCCATTTTATCTAGGTTTCATGACAGAAAGAGAGAGAGAGAGAGAGAGAGAGAGACTTCGAGGTGAAAAACTGTGCCTCGAAGTCGCCCCGAGGTCGCGTTCAGGTCGCGGGATGAAATATTAATTTTAATCCGACCAAGGCAGTACGATTAATATTTACCATCCGGAGAGGAATTTCCCCATTCCGGTAACGGAGGGAAACAGTTACAAGAGCTGCTTCTACGAATCGATCGTACGTTTCGCGATCTATCGTTGGATCGTTCGGGCAAAAGTCCTCTTCTCTCTGACGTAGAATTGACTCGCGAAACTGACAATGAAAGCCGATATCGGTGTTTCCCGGACGAGTCTCCCTCGTCGAGTCGCGAAGCAGTTTTGCGAATGAAGTGGCCTATTACGTAAAGAAGAGGATAAACGTTGCCGGAGGTACGGTATAATAACGATTAATCGATTCCCGGAGGAAATAAGGAGGAAATCTACTGGTTTCCTAATTGACGTTTCGCGTACCGCAATGGGGGCTATCTCGATTACAAGAATTTCCATTCCGCCAGGTTCGCTCTTCGCGCACACGTTCGCAGCCCGTTCGTGTACAGACACGCGTGCACGTCTGTGCTAAACGTCGTACACCGCGATTAATGACAAGATCGAGCGAACTCGTATTTCAGAAAAGTCGCCGATTACGGGTTTTTCTGGTTCCTGCCTTGCCACAGTAAGCGCAGTACATTCCGGAATTTTTTAAAATAATAATAGTCGAGCATATCATGTTAG